TGGGTAGAAATGCAGGGGCTTACAAACGAATAAACCAAGTCGAAATATTTTTGATGCACATTTTAGGATCTCTAGAGAATAACAGATCTTTCACTCACCCTTTACCCCCTACGTAACAATAAAAATGGACTTAAGCCTATTGATAACGAGATAAAAATAGTTTTTGGTTTGACGGGCATGGCAAAATGCATGTAAGACCCGCAAGCGCTTGCGATATATATATGTCGTTCGAATCAGGATCATTTTTCGAATCGGTCTATGTTTGTGTGCCCGTCTGTCCGTCGTGTTTGCCTACAGGTGAGGAAGCTTTTGAAATATTTTGATTAAATTTTTTACACTGATGTGCTTTGGCCCAAAGACGAGCGTGCGGACTAGCGACGGTTCGGATCAGGCTACTTTCTTCGACCATATACCGCCTTATTTTGAAAAGTTAAAGTGTGGATAACTGTAGGATAGTGTAGGGTATTTTTTTCCTATGACCAGCCACTCCATAGAAAGAGGAGGATGGAGAGTGGAGGTAGTGTTTGTTAACGTTCGGCTTAAAAATGGAAACATCAAATACGGTGGGAGAGACCACTGTTGATGATTTGTTCCAAAGATGAGAAGCACGGTTAAAAAGCGATCAATCGCCGTAGTGCGTGATGCGATATACAGGTAACTGCGGGATGAATGACAAATCCGTGTAGTCATGCTAAAGGACTGAATTAGTGGGCAAATCTCCTTTATCTCTGTAGAAATATGTAGCGATGGCCTGGATGTACTTGTATATAAGCACACCACAGCGCAGATTACGCCGATACTCAAGAGTATCGAGAGTTTTGCCCCCTTTCGTTACCCATGAGCATTTGATCCTTTCGCTGTATGCGATTGAAGCCCTCCAAGCAAAGTTTGGATGCTCACGCCTGCACATGGCAGTTATATTCTAATTTGGTCGAGTGTAAGCAGTGGATATATCGGCTGCTTACAGATACCTTTCGTACTGCTTTGAAAAATCTAACCCCTTGGTTCGTCTTTCGAACACATATATTCTGACCAGGGAACACCGTTTTGTATACTCATGCCCAAAAGATCAAGGGCTACCAACTACTCCACATTTACACCATCGAAAGAGAGGAGGTTGTCGTCAATATTCATGTGAGTTAGGAGACAACTTTTAGTGTTAGCAGCGTTATAGCCGACCCTAATAGCTCATAAGTTCTTTCCGGTCAGATATTTTGATGCGATCCCGATGTAGTGGGTGACTTACCATGCAGCGTTTGTTCTGTATCTCATGGTCCCATACTGATGTAGAACGAGCGACACAAGGTGCTGTCGTCTGCACACAAGTAGATAGCGTTTTCAGCTACGCACACGTGATCGTTATTGAATATCAGGAAGAGAGAAGGAGAAAGAATTTAATGAGCGGTTGTGCCCCACTATGATGCATATGCACTTGTTTTAAATGAAACACAAAGCAAGTCAAATCTTTTCGGTCATAGTTATCATATTTATCGTTATTTCAAAAACTTCCATTACATTGGTAAAATAATGAAAAATAATACAAACATGTTACACAACTAAGATTTTAATATAATAAAAAACTAAAAGTAATTATGTATATAATTAAAAAGTAATGCATTAACAACAATTACAATAAAAATAATAATAATAATAATAATAAAAATAGTGTCCTGAAAAACAGAAACGTAAGAAAAAGTTCATAATAATAATATTAATAATAAAAATAATAATGAAAATAGTAATAATAATAAGAAAACAAAATCATATTTCATACGATTGATAAGAGTTTTAACAGAAACAGAAACTATTTTTAAGCACAGTGCAAAAATCAAAAAAAAAAAAAAAAAAAAAAGAGAAGACACTTGTCCCAGAGACAGATAAGTTTCAAGACTAACTTTCATTTATGCTTTTGAAGCAAAAAATATGTTTTGTATCTTAATCGAATGGCCAAGGGCTATCATATAGTCATCTCGTTTATTAGCAGATTAATGTTAAGCAAATCATTGCGCAAGCAACGAGTATGAAGCGTGGGTACGGGTAATGAAGGCAGGATGCAGAAAGTAGGAAGTAAGACCAACTAAGACACAATGCAAGATAGTAATGTTTTCCTTTTTTGATTTTTTTTTTTTTTTAATAATTAAGATCACTTATTTATATGCTTGCATATGTAATGTAATTTTATTCATTTTTATTGTATAGTTTTAAGGTAAATTTTTTTTATATATACGAATAAATTTAAACGGTTTGTTTTTACTTAAGGACTTTACTTTAGTTTATATGTATTTTATATGAGAATATTTGTTATTTTTATGTACGTATTTGCGTATCTGGATTGTGTATGCGTGTATGTGTATGTATGTATGTGTATGTATGCATGCCTGCATGTGTGCGTGCGTGCGTGCGTGCGTGTGTGCGTGTGTGTGTGTGTGTGTGTGTGTGTGTGTGTGTGTGTGTATGTGCATGTATCTGCCTATGTAAAGTTTAACTACGTTCTTACGGCGAAAAAAGATTTCAGATTTTTCTCCCTCTCTTTCTCTTTGTCTTCTTCTTTAAATTTAATTATTTATTAAGTTTTTATTTATACTGGAAGTTGGCCTTAGTTGTTTTTTGTTTATGCAAAATATATGTATATATATTTTCACTTATTTTCATAAAGAGTAATGCATAGATTTCGTTATTCATTTATTTAATTACTTTTTTTTTTCTTGTATTTTTTTTATTTTTATTTTATTTTATTTTTTATTTTTAGTTCAATAATTTTCAATTTAAATAATTCACTCACATTTTATGTACGTATTTTAGTCTGTTTCCTATTGTTCTGTGCATGCTGCAAGTGTTTTCCTTGTATTATTATTTTTCAATTAGAGAAAATTGAAGGATAGTTAGTTATGTTTGTTTTGTTTCTTTATTATTTTACAAATAAGTTGCGATCCTTAAGCTAATACGTATATTGTTGAGATTGTTTTTTGGGGTTAATCGATTCATATAAACACACACGTAGCTAAACTGTTTATGACTTGGTGGTATTTGCTGTAGTGTGTCAATGTTGTTGTTCTTCTTTTCTTTTTTTTTTTTTTTTCAATGTTTACTTTTAGTTCTACTTTTGTATTTGTTTTTTTCAAGCAAATCAAGATATAATGGTGATTTATTTCAATATTTGTGTGTAAATTTACATTTGTTAAACATAAATTAAATTTTTTTGTTTTTTTGTTTTTTTTCTTAGTCACTGGCAAACATTATGAATTTTACGTATTTGAAGATGTACTATTACTATCTCTTCTTTCGAATGTTGATTATGTGTTTTCATTTTCATTTTTTTTTTTTTTTTTTGCATGGTTTCGTTTTTTAGCAAATACCATCATTTTACATTCTATATATAGCTATTTTTAAATATTTAAAGAAATGGCAAACAATATAAGAACGTTTTCGTCGACTTAAAACAAGTCTTAGATGACTAACAACTAAAGGCGATAAAAAGAAATCTGATGAACAAAGATTGGGGACTTTGCAGATGTAACGCAGAAAATTAACATGAAAGGGAAAATGGACAGATAGACGAAGGAACCTAAATTAACTGAAAATCTGACATCCGTCAAAGAACAAATGGACAGATAAGAAAGATTTAGAATTGACTTGAAATTTTCTGTGATAACTGAAACGTATATCTGAGCATCGCAAAGCAGACGGAGATCACTAGATCGTCTCAAAATTTCCATCATTCGTTGATTCGCATCCTGTTAAATGTGTTCATGTCAAAAGTTCAATGGCATGGTACGAGTCTCCAGACCTTCCTCTCCCCACAGGCTTTTGCTTTAAGCAATTTTGCTTTAGAAACGTTCCGAAGTAGGAACAGCAAGAAAACTAAGCAAAGACATTTATTTGATTTGAATAAGATCATGTAACATCTAAAAGCCGCGAAACTTGTTTTTGGAAGTAGTTTAATGCACGTTGGTCGCGAATGTTTAGCTTTTGGATGATGCTGTTACTGCTTACGTGGCAATCTTGGTTGATGTTTGCCACAAAATTGTCTCGTCATGGTGTGAGAAGCGTCTCGAGCCAAAACGTCCCGAACGAAGTCATATTTTTATAACTGTGGCACTTGGCAAGATACCCTGCTGCTCATAAACATCGCAAGCTCTTCGTAGGCCTCAATCAGCGTAACAAACTGTCCAAGCTTGAAATACCATTTCCCCGTTTTCTCGTTTCGTTTCTTTTGCCTTGGTTTGCTGCAATTAAAATACTTTTGCGTTCATAGGAAAGAGATTTTGGAACAATGACATCCCACTAAGAACTTTTTCGCTTAAGTCCAACATGTATCTAAATGGAAAGGTGCCGGCTATTAGAAGATTGATTCCACGCCAATCTTTCTTTGCAACTGATTTCTTTTACAACTAAATAAAGGTAGAAAAAATCAAGTGAAATAAATTTAAAAACTTTTATGAACATAACTTTTTTTTTTTTTTTAAATGAAAACATGCACTGCATTTTTACTTTAACAAGGAAAGAAAAAAAAAAAAAAAAAAAACATTTAGCAAACAAGTCTTTCGGTCGTTTTTAAAGCAATTTAATCAAAACCACATTCAATATATATTTATATCAAAATTGTATGTGTGTGTACGTGTAACTTAACTCATACATTTATCATAATAGTATAATAATAATATTAAAATTTCTATTGTTCGCTTAATTGTTTGCTTTTTTACTTATGTGCTAAGTAAAATATGTAAATATATATATATATATATATATATATGTAATAGTTTTTATTTTTGCTTTTAATTACTGTATTTTTGTTTGTATGTACGTACAACTGATGGTGTGTATGTTTACTTAAAATAAACATACACACACAGACATATATCACCTAGTAATTAAAAAAATCTATGCAAAGGTTTTACGTATTTTGTTGCAATTATTTTTTTGTATTATATAATACATACATGCATACACACACACAAATACTTATATTATACAATAAAATGATGTATGTGTATTGTATTATATAATACATACATGCATACACATGCATACATACGTATATATAAAAAGTATCGATCTTCCATTTTAATTATCCGATGACAAAATAGATTAAGAGTAAAGCTACCTTTTTTATTAGCAGGCTTAATACTTTTTAGACTACCTATTACATAGGTGTGCATAATGCTTTAACATGCGTGACATGCTACACATACATCATTTTATTGTATATTATAAGGATTTGTATGTGTGTGTGCATGTATGTGTTTTTATAACGGATACCAGCCCGTTTTACTTGTCGGGCTCTCTTCGGAATATTTCTTCACTTTACTTTTAAGTATTTATTTTTTATTATTTTATTTTTATTTTTTTTTTGTTGTTATTTTTTCTACGGTGCAAATATTTATGTATTCACTTTGCTGACAGCTTTTAGGAGATCGTGATTGCTTTTATCCAGCGCACTCATCATACCCAAGTTACCACCTAAGCCACCGCCGACGCCAACGCCGACGCCAACACCTACACCGACACCCATTCCCAGGCCAAGTTTTAGATCGTTTTGCCCGACAACTGAATGATGCAAATGGCCGGGATTGTGAGCGATTATCGAATGATGATCTTGTGGAGGCTGTTGCTGCTGCTGCTGCTGCTGCTGCTGCTGTACTTGTTTATTATTATTTTGTTGGGCGGACTTCATGGCTTCTTGGGCTTTCATTTTTTCTTGCTCTTCCCTATCACGACGGGCCTGTAATGAAAAAATCCCCCGATATAATTAATATTGAAATAGTCATTTCATTGATTTGATTGATTAAGATCGGATTGAGAACTTACTTGTTCATTAATTTCTTTAACTGCTCGCAATTCTTTTTTCAATTTCATTCGACGATTTTGAAACCAAATTTTTATTTGGCGTTCAGTTAGGCAGAGAGCATGAGCAATTTCGATTCGTCGTCGTCGCGTTAAATAATGATTAAAATGGAATTCCTTCTCCAGCTCAAGCGTTTGAAAGCGCGTATAAGTTTGTCGACCGCGACGTCGTGGGCAACCGTTTGGACCTGTTGTTGTTATTCGTTAAGAAAAACAAAGCAAAGATTTTTATTAATCATTTAATTATACGTAAACAACTACGTGTATGTATGTATGTATGCATGTATGTAAAATCATTTCTTTTTCATTCCTGTTTAATATGCAAGATATTGCTTTAATTATAAAAGTAAACGAAATTATTATTAATAATAATCTAAAATTAATAACAAAGAGTTCCAAATGACAAATATCGTACGTAAACATTTTGTAAATGGGAACGCATATGTGTATGCAAAATGCATTAAGATCAATATATTTTTGCTTATCAATAAAATATTACGTACTGTCACATATCTCACAGTACACAAGAATTTCTTTTGTTCTTCAGATGAAAAAGAGAGCAAAAGAATATTTTCGTATCCATTTTGCTTACTCTTTCGCCTCTTAACAATAAATTATTTGAACTTCCGTATTATAAAAGTTTGTATTATTTCCTCAAACGCTTGCAAGGACACATTTTGCTTTCACTACTTTTAATAAAATTACACCGATAGAGGGGAAAACGTAATAGACTATCAAGAAAATGATTTTGAGAAATTTCGCTGTGTCTTCTTCTTATCTTATCGTCCGAACTATTGTCATTCTGGTCATAATCAGTGCGCTTCAGAGGCAATCAAAAGTTCTTTCCATTCATGCAAACAATGCTTTCGCGATTGTACAAACTTTTAAGTATTTTATGAGGTTACGTTACGTTACGGGTGGTTTTACTGCGACTACTTGTTTGTCGACTTTGGACGCCTTTCGTTGACTGCTGTCCACTTGGCTGATTGCCAATTTGAATCTGGGGTATAGCGATGAACTTATGTTTCATTCATCGTCACAGATCGCATCAAGAAATTCTTTTTATTTCACCTAAGCAGCGTCTAACAGTTCTCGGAGTCCAAAAGTAGGAAACCCCTCCGCATGAGTAGCCGAGTAGGTAAGCATCGCTGCCTCAAATCTCAATGCGATAGAATTTACTTTAGTCCTAGTTATAGGGAGCACTCAGTCGGTAAAGGCATGACACTTACCGATTGAGCAGACACTCCGCCGTTTCCCTCTTTCTTTGTCTCTCACCACTTCTTTCCGACCGTCACCGTATGACACGAATGGGCGACGTACACTGACTGATTGGTTGGATTAGTTGCAAATGTCCACTACGCTCAGTACAGACAGAGTTTTCTCATGCGTAATAGTAAATGCACTGGCTGCTGACATATACGATGAAGTTTCAGCTGCTCTCAGCCAACTTCGGTTTCCGGTCTTCCAAAACGTTCAGCGTCATTGATGTGCAGAGATCAATCGCAGACTTAGCAAGTAATGCCGTCGATCGGAAGTCAATAATGCTATATATGATCTCGTATGTTATTTGCTACTGCTTTCATCTTGTTCAGTTCATTCTATTTCTCAACATCTTTCATTGAAGAGCAAACCATTCTCACGCACTGAAGCGACAAAATGTTACTTTCTTTTTTTTTCTGCAGACTTTCATAAAGCGACTTAAACGCGGCCAAGGTTTTAAGAAGGTGTGTTTATCCTTAAGTAAACTTTTTGATTTTATTTCAAGACTATTATGGATCCCATAAATACGTTTCGGGCTTGGAAGATTATCTAATTGAAATATTACTCGCCGAAGAATAATTTTTCTTTAAATTTACTTGCAGTGGTTTTCGAAACGTACATCGATCTCTGCTAACCTGTTCTTGTTTTTCTTTTTGCTCACTGACTCCCACTGGTTCCTATGGTAAAAGGGTTGCTGTTAGTTTAGTAAACGTTTTGTTTATCCTAAACAAGGTGCGTGCAGAGCTAACTCAGTGTGCATTCGCCTACGGTAGATATTGCAAAAATATTATTTTTTAGTTTCGCTTGTAAATCTGTCAGATATTTGTAAGAATTTTATTTTATTTATTTTTTTTTTTTTTGAAAAACTTTTCACGCTACCTGCGCTAATTTTATTTTACGAGCTACACTTTGTTCGGCGATGTGGTAAAAAGTCATTTTTGCAAAAAAACAGAAAAAAAAAAACCAAATTATTATTTCTTTGGCTGCTTACGTGTTTTTCAGTTATAAATTGTTGTTGTTCGCTGTGCTACCGTTCAATATGCTGCACTTTGCTTTTATACTTGTTGTAATTTTAGTTTTTTTATTTGCCAGTGGGATTTTTTTTGTTTTTCATGATTATTTATGGTTTAAATGAAAATCCTTTGTTTGAATATTTTTGTTTTCTATTACGCTGGTAAGTGCTGATAGTTTTTAGTCATATATTTTCAAAATATTTTTGTTAAACCGTGAAGTAGTTTTTTCTTTTTTTCTAATTTCTAGTAAAAAATATTTCCACTTTAGGCATACCTGTCAGTAGCGTTATGTAGAAACAAGTTTTTTCATTTTTTTTTTTTTTTTTTTTTTCTTAATTTGTTAAGGAAGAAACTGCCATCGTATCACATGTCTTGAACTTCTATCTCTATGAACTTGTCTATGCATTGGTTAACTATTTTTAATAGCTATGCAATCAATTTTTATTTAGTTTTCTTGAGTTGAAACTTTCACAATCTTTTTACTAATGGAAAATAAATAAAGTTCGCTGTTATGTCTGGCTTCTTTCAAAAGAGTTTTATTTAATCCAGCAATAAATTGAATAATCCTTCGTTTTTCAATGTCTAAGAAATTCAATTCCAGTTTCCATAATGCAGACATAAAACCTTACGGAAGTCAAATATGCACCAATAACTTCGCTTGCGAACTTGGTCTATACTGTAGGGAGAGTAGTTTCGAAATGTAGTTTACACCATGCTAAATAGATTCTTACAATCGTAACTGACGTCTTACTAGAAACTAGTGAGCAGTGCAGCAGTGAGTCGATTCAAAAATGCGATCGCCCTCTGAAAGGTAGATATATATTTTCTAAGGTAAGGATTAGTGAATCATTCATCAGTCTCGCTTTAGAAGCCTTAGGATTTCGACTTTGGGTTTCAAGCTCTCTGAACTTTAGCTAATAGGCGCGGAATTGTAGTGAATATGTACAAAAATGGACGTTTTAATTATCGAAATACTGTCAACAAGCGAAGATGCAAAGTAAGGCAATGACTTTTGTTTAAAAATTTTATTGTCGTAAAATTCAATATAAGCATCTCCTTTCTCAATAGCAATTTCCAGCATTGTGGCAGAGACTAGAAAATTAAAGCTGCATTCTACTATTAGCAGTCAAAAAATAATCAAATAAAAGTATCGAACCACGACCAACATGATGGTGGGTAGGTAATGAATTGCGAACAAAGGACATATGTAGCCCACGGCGGCAGATTGACATCAAAGTAGATTTTGCAAAATCAGATAAATTACTAGTGAAGTCACTCATGATTAGAAGCTTTGGATATTCTAACAGTGTATCGCTAGTTGCATGTTCAAGCGATTAAACGTCACTCTGAGGCCGATACATGGCAGCAATAAGTAGTTTAGCTCCTGCCATACCTATTTCAGCGAGTAGAGTTTCAATCATAAGCATTGTATTTTTTCGAACTTGCGGACACATTGCAAAATTTGCTAAAATAAACGCCATATCAGGTCAATCGCCTGTCCTTGAAAATGCGCTGCACTTATACACCTTTTGATATCGATAAAGGAATCAGAGAATCAATCTAATATTGATCCAGTGTGCTTTCTTGAGCTGCGTTGTTACGAAAAAGGAATTTCACTCGAATTAATTTCCAGGTCTTAGCTGCCTTTGAATTTCTCCTTTTTCAATGACTCGTCATCATATTTTATTACTTAGAGTCGCATATTTGGACCAATGTAGAAGAAACGCTTAGAAATTTATTCCAACTTACTTTTAACATAAGAAAATTACTCGAGTGGAGGCAATGGCTGCGATTGCAACCAGTATTAATAATCGCATCCTTGCTGAAAGTGATGATGATGCATGACGACGGTTGCTTTGCTAGATTAAAATGTCAAACTATATACAATATATTGAGGTATTTTTGTTTTTACGGTCTTCGAGGTATGTTTCTAAACTATAAATGTGTATGAATGACAGATAGAGTCTGTTACATAAATGTCAACTAAGGTTGGCGTGCAAGTTGTGGTGTAAGAATTCGGTAATAACAGTCGAGGCTCTTTGGGTGTTAATCTGCCGAAGTGTCCTTGATTTTGTTTAGAGAAAAATTGAACATTGCACCTAAGCTGGGTATAGCCAACAATATTAGTCATTCTGGCATAACAAGGTAGAGTTAGTATTGTAGTCCTTTGAAATACAAATTTTGTTTCCTGACAGTCTAAACATATCGTTTATATGACTAGCAAAGGGAATGCAAATCAAATCACTTTTAGAAGCTTTTGTGCATAGTATGTGTAGTACAAGTAATTTTTGAATGGCGTTCAACATATTGAATGGGTCAGGACATATTGGTCTATTAGGCTTATCGAAATCATTCTATTAATGAATGGGATGGACGACGAACTTCATGTTATCACAATTTGCATTAATCGGCACAGTAAAAAAAAAAGTAGCTTTTGCCGAACAGCCTATGATAGCCGTAGGCAAAATTGTAAACATATTAATCGAAAAGCTTTCTTAATTAAAATTCCAGTCGGAATAATCGAAATATCATAAAGATATTTTTAAAAGTTCGTTTAAATCCCACCTATTATTATTATTATGCTAATCGATTCGAACCGGTTTTTGAGGCGGTACATATATATAAATACTTAATCATTATATTTATAGATAAAAAGACGCTTTTTTTAAGCTTTCGCATTTATTTTCTAATACGATTTGAATAATGACCAGCATTCCTCCAGCAAGAAATGCTTATAACAAAATCATCAACTATAATGGCCATGCATTCACATGCGTTCATGCAAAATGCAACAAACAAAGAGCAAAAATGCGTTAGAAAAGGAGAGAATGAATTTTTGTTTACAAAGTTGATGCTACTGTATAATAGATATACATATGTCAACGAAAATAACAATTATGGAAACCAATCCAATA